TGATATGGTGGAAAATGTCCAGTTATGTCCAATATTTGGGAAAAATCTTGCTCACACTTTCATGCAAATCTGGGCAGAACTTTTTCACAGACAAACACTACCAACTGCATATTCCCACTGGTTGGGGTTATAATGCTTCTGTTTACATTTCAGGGGATTTTGTTTAGTACAGTGCCAGACGGAGTTGTGACCAAGTGGCATAATAAAAACATCTCCAGCCAAAATAAACACAACTGGTCACAGATCTGATGAGTTAATCTCCAGATTACAGATTACAGCATGCTAATCTGGGTCAAATGGGAGCGATGCATATTACTCATTTTTACTTCAACAGTATGCACCTCTGCACAAGAGCAGGCAAACAGTAGTACAACAATGTAATTTAGAGTGCAGAGAAAAAGGAACCGTATTAAAAAATTTTAAGATTTTATTAACAAAACGACAGAAGCTGCAGAACTGAATCTATTAAAATAAGATATAATGTTAAAGAAATAGTAAATCATGGTTTATTGTGAATTATTAAGAATTGGGAAGGCCATATCAAGACATTCTGGTGTTCTCCTGGAAGTTATTAACATATAAAGGTCATTAATATCCCCTAAAATACTGTATTAATAAGTTTGTGTGAAGAGGCTTCAGGTTTTGTCCATTTAATCTCTGCTTCAACCTAAAAATGAGTAAACTGAGTGTTCAGAGAGAGGAGCCTGCTTAGATTCACTCTCCACTACAGCCCTAGACTCTCAGTGTAATTCCAGCTAATGCGGATAATGGGCAGGACACGTTGCGCATGGTGCGCGCCGCCTGCGACGCACGGCCCTCCTTGGATTTGAGGGAGCCGCTGTCACCCGCCGCAGAGAGGGCACGGCGGGTGAGATTATGTGATTGTCTCTGGATAAAGCATGCAGTCTGACTTCTTTTGTTTCAACGTTTGTCGCTATTTTTTCATCGAAATGGTGAGTTTTCACAGATTACCAAACGCCAAATGAGACTTTTGTCGGATTAATCAGACGCGGAAGGACAGACGATGAGAGTCGGAGGTGGATTTCAGGTGGGAGTTTTTAAAAATTGCTTTTCCAAAATAGATTTGAAAATACCAGACAAGCAATGTGAAAGTTTGGGCTAAATCTTAATGGAAAACACCGAATATAACCACCAGAAATTCTGTGTAATTCAGCAGTTATGTGTGGTGTAATCTGGACAGCGAATGCGTCATGGGAATATGTTAATCTGCACATACATATATATATATGTATGTATGAAACAACACTAAAAGCATTTGATTAAAATGAAAGTAACCTTTACTTGTCGTTGTGCTGAGGCAGTAGTATATTAATCCAGATTAGACCCTATGCAGACTTCAGTAGTTTACAGGTGAAACAAAGGACTTGTTAACCAAGGATGTGAAGTGATCAGGACAAGAATCTACCTTTAAAACTGTTTCACTGCCCTTTGTAATGTTTTGTGGGGTTTTTTTGAGTCCAAAAACGTGCTCAGCATTTAGTCTTTTTGATGTAAGTTGCACGTTTTCGTGCATACTAGCTGTCCTGAACACTATTGGTAAGAGTATTTTATTCCACACAAGAGATTATAACAATCATAATCTGTGCATCTTAACTCCACCCTCAGGCATGATGCATGAAGTCTCCACCTTGTCTGACTTGTTGTGTTGACCACCATTTCCCCCCCCTGTGAGCTCATTACATCACTCATCCATCTGCGTGCACATTGTCTTAGAATCAGAATCAAAATACTTTATTAATCCCGAAGGAAATTATGGGTTACAGCAGGCAGCACGCTAATGGCGCATGCGTCATTAGCGTACATTATCTAGGTTTTCTGGGTCAAATGAGGTCAAACAGTAGTCCAGCAAATAACCATTCATCATCTTTGAGTTATTTAACGTTTTATTGCAGTTTGGAAGTTGAGTTAAATGAACTGGAGTGTGAGTGGTTTAAATGTATGCAACTATGATATTTACACTGTAAGGATAACTTCTAAACATGGGAGATACGCAGAGGTTTTTTATGATTCTGTGTCTAGAACATGAAACCAAAATAAAATGGGAGTGGAAATCATAATCAAACTCAGTGCGGACTATTGTGCATGTCCCTTTCTGACTAAGCAAGCTCAGAAACCTGCAAATCCTTTCATCCTGTTTCCACCACATGCTTTCAGTACTGAGGTCAGTTACTCTCATCCTCTCTTGCCCTTACATAACAGCAAGGCAGGCTGCTTCTGGATAGATTTAGACAGAAAGCAAATTGAATGCACTGACTTAGCATCCCAGTACTGGCAAAATTACTTACTACAGTGTATTGGAAAGATTTGTAAAGCATTTTGTTGCACCCAAAAAACCTTCTTTAAGTCTGTCAGGTCAAAAAATATAAATATGAAAGTTATATTTGCACATCTGTACAGTGATTCTGCAGACTGATGCTGCGATGTCTGTGTTAAAATGCAAATTTTAACACAACGAATATTAGTAGCTTGTTCTCAGACTCACAAATTAAATGCAAATACACATAAAATACGACAAATAGAAGAGTTTTCTTTGCAGCTCTTGAAAGTCATAAAACATTCTAAGTAGTAAACAAACCATGGCATAAATTTATATTAAGTGTATAGAAGTGTTATTCTGTGGTCATCATGAATAATATTATTGTGTCAGTGCTCTCCGTCTTCAGATCGAGTTACTCCGTGTCCAGGTTACTCTAAGTAGCTAAAAACATCTCTTGAAAAACCAATTAAGAAGAGGTAATCCTCTCCTTGCAGACGGTATTGGCCATGGTGCCACACACTGCACAAGAGTGGATTACCAACAAGGCAAACTCCACGGGGATCCCCCATAAGCCACAGATTCACCCACCTCCAGTAGTTTTAGCAGTTTAATTAGCTACATATGTGTTAAGTTGCTTAAACAGCTAATTACCCAAAATTAATTAGGCTGAATATTTGGAGATCCTCAGTCCATCTGAGAGTTTTTCTAAAGATTCGTATTGCTAAAGTTGTGTTTCATCAAATGACTCCAAACTGATGCAGGATTGTTTGATGTGTGGCTTGTATTTAGATTAAGGGGGAGGGCCAGAAGGAGCCCTTAACACAGGGGTGGGCATGTCCAGGCCCCGAGGGCCGGTGTCCTGCAGATTTTAGATCTCACTTTGGGTCAACACACCTGAATCACATGATTAGTTCGTTACCAGGCCTCTGGGGAACTTCAGGACATGTTGAGGAGCTAATTTAGCCATTTAAATCAGCTGTGTTGGTTCAAGGACACATCTAAAACCTGCAGGGACACCGGCCCTCGGGGCCTGGAATTGCCCACCCCTGCCTTAACAGATCAATCCAGTCATAGAGTAGCTGTTAAACCAGCCTGTGCAAATAATTACGTCTGCACAGGCTGATTAAAATATCAATTAAGATTTTCTTGGCCTATTAAATATCAGCAAATGAAAGCTTAAAAAACCATCAGCCTCAAAAACAAAGTAATAAATTTACCGTCACAGATGTCTAAGGATGTGCACACATTTAAAGACCTGGAACCAGGTACATCTGTTTTTTTAAATCAAACAAATTTAAAATGTTGCATCTGCTACAAAATAAACGTGTTAAATTAGAAATCTGCATTCGCTCTTGTGTCTTTGTAAATAAAATAATAAAATAATAAATTAAGACACATAATGTAATAATAATATTGTAATAATATTTTATTTATATTTGTACAACTAAACCTGCCTTTTGTGAAACTTAAAAACTTTGATTTAAAAGACAAAATTAAAATCATTTTGCTATAAGAACAACAATAAAAACACGTCAGGAATGAAGACCCAAATATAGACTCAACTGGGACTATATGTATATACACACGGACACACAGAGGGCGATCACGGGAAGAGGAAGCAGGTGGGGAAATAGGAACAGCTAGCCTTATTGAGCTAAACATACAAAACGACCTAAAATTAAATACAAAGACACAGGAGACTGGAATTACAAAGTAAAACAGGAAGGACGTAACTAGAAAACATCTAAAGCAGAGACAAGAAAACACTCATAAATATCAGAACATGACTGAACTGAGAACAGAATTACAATTGTAACACAACTCAGTCAACATAGTCAGCAAAATTAAAGGTTTAGAATAAGAACAAAAAGTCAACTTACACAGAAAACAGAAAATAACCCAATGAAGCCCACAGACCGTAACAAAACAAGAGTTTGGTGTTAAAACTGTTGATAATAAATTGTCACATATTTCCCCCCAAATCTGTGCACCTTAAAGCGTGATTTATTCATTATGATAAGATAAAACATAACATATTCTTAGATAAATCTTCCAACTTTGGCTTTGGTTTTTGGTCAGTAAAATGCTCTAAATCAGTGTGCTTGACTCCAGGATCCAGAGTGATCTGGTTGGAGGATTCAGGTGTGCTGTGCTATATCCAGGTAGCATTTATGATACCAGGCTTGAACCGAGAGCTCAGCTCTCACCTGTGTTAGATAACTGGATTACTTAGAGTCCTTCCTTGTCTCCTGCTCTGCTCAGTCTGTTAAACACTTTCACTTGTTGCTCATGGAACTTTCTCACCTTTCACAGCTCTTCATGCAGGACTAAATTAAACTGACCTAATGCAAGATTTGGTGATAATAAGACATCAAGGTAGAAATGTATCAATATATTTAAAGTTTTTGTTTGTTTGTTCATGCAGGATCATTTGTCAACTTATTGTTCACTTAAGTCCTGACTTTTTAAAGGCTCATAATTATGTTTATTTTTATTATTCGTAGTACTAGCGGGCATACAGGCAGGAAACGGGAAGGAGACAAAGGAAGGAATGATATGTGACACAGTTAATATCACAGGGCTCAATGAGAAGTTTAATAATCAGAGGAACACATCAGTTTTCACCCGTCACTGATTAGTTGATCAATTATATTTTTTAAACCACTGGAATTGAAATATGTTTTAAGAACACAGTTTCAGGAAATGAGCTTCGTCAGCTGATGGTGTTTGAGGAGCCAGAATCTTAAACACTCAAATGATAATTTTTCTCAGATTTGTTTAGATTTGTCAGCCAGAACATTAAGGTTATGAGAAAAAAATTGACCTTTTGTCTGATATTTAGAAGACTAGTAAAAATAATAATTATGCACATTCAGTTAAGAGGCTGTCTGCCTTACTTTGGCTAAAATAGATTTTTGTTGCAGCTAAAATAAGTGTGCACTAACTCTTTGCTAAAGGGCTGGTGTTACCTTTTAAAGGCCAGTTTGGATCAGGCGGAAATAAATGGGAAACAGGCTTATTGTACATGAAAGTGTCTCCAAGCCCAGTGTTCACTGATTTGGTTTAAAGGTTTGGTGCCGTTTTTTATTTTTGATATTATAGGATAGTAGATTTTCTCTGGCAAGTGAAAATGTAAATGTTTGAGAAATCACTACTTAAGAAGTCTTGTGATGGTTATTTCAGTTGTTTTTTGATTAGACTTTGACTGCTGTGGGTGTGTGATGTGCTTTTCAGTTTTATGTTTATGTGGCTAAGAACAATGGGCCTGCATTGATTCATCAGATGTGGCATTCATTTTTAAGAGTAGTTATAAATTATTGAATATAGCAGCAGTCCTGTAACTGGAGCAGAGGAGTTGCAACAATGCAAAAATGTGATTATTTAAAATATTATTTAAATATTATATGAGTCTGATTTTTATTTTTTACAGTAAGACAGGCAGGTTACAGCAGTACAATAATAGTTTGATGCTGACAAATAAGTGGTAGCACTTTACTGCATTTAATGAGGAATTTTTCTGTTTTAAATTCTGCTTTATAACAGCTTAAAAAATTGAAATAATTATAAGGAAGTAGGCACTTGTACTCTCAGAATAACCATCATCTCCTTGGTCTTCCTTTGATTTCAGGGGGATTTTGGTAGATCGCAGCAGAACTTGCTCACAACAAGAAGGGGAGTCTGAGGTCGGCGCTCTGAGATGGACCTGTCTGGATCTTCACTCAATCGCAGCCAATCGCTGGCAAGCGGCCTGGAGAAGACTTCCCACACCTGGAACAAGCCAGCCCACTCTCAGAGCAGCAGCACTCTGTCATCTCGCCACTCCAGACAGGTCAGACAGTTCGGTCTATGAAAACATGAAAATAAATTAGATTCATCAACTCCACATTTCCTCTCGATCATCCCCATCCTCCCAGACGTTTTGAGACTGCTGAAGTTATATATATGTTTAAAAAGTCACATAACTTGATCTGTCTAATAAACAATCAAAAAACAATCAAAAAAGAACAGTTTATATGATCAGATGCAGCAAAAAAAGCCACAAATCTTCAAATATATTTGGAATTTTTGCCTTAAAACGTATTAAAACGGTTAATCGGCTATCAAAATAGTTGCAGACTGATTTTCTTCAATTTACAACTTTAGGATATTTCCATTCATTCATTTTTATCCATTTATTTACGCAGCAAGAAACGACAACTTAATTTTTCTTGATATTTTCCACAGATTATCAAAGACTGGGAAGTAATTGACGACCTTCAGGTTGAAATGCAGGGAGCAGGTGACGATCCTCAAGACAGGACCGCCCCGGGAATCTGTGAAGGATATCTTCTCAAGAGGAGGAAATGGCCACTTAAAGGCTGGCACAAGGTGAGAAGTCAGTGCACTCATTCACGTTGCTGCTCAAACGTCGGGTCTCTTTAAAATCCGTCAGTTTCAAAAAAGATGATCTCTTTTTCAGCGGTACTTCGTCTTGGAAGGAGGGATCTTACGCTACTCCAAAAATCAACAAGATGTAAGTGAAATTTTACGTTTGTCCAGACAATGCAAGGATTGACCTTTCTCTTTTGACTTCTAACATCAACCAGGCATTTTTCACCCCGAGAAACTGTTGCTAGCTTTTTTACGACCGTTCTAAAGCCTAGAGATGGAGAGAAAACCCCAGTAGATCATCAGTTTCTGAAATACTCAGGCAACCCGTGTGACACCAACAACAATGTTCAGAGTATCTTAAATCAGCTTTCTTCTCTATTCTGGTGTTCAGTTTGAACTTCAGTAGATCACCTTGAGCATGTCTGCATGCCTAAATGCATTCAGTTGCTGATGTTTTGATTAGATAGCTTCATTCATAAGCAGTTAAACAGGTGTAACTAATGAAATAGCTGGTGAGGGTATTTTCCTCTTATATTGGCATTTGGGAAATCAGTTGATCTCAACGCCGGGTGATGGTTGAACACAAATCCTACTGGCAAATCTTTATAGAGCACATCTTTTATGTTTAGCCTGCCTAGTTCCTCTGCAAGCCACTTGGCAAACCACCTCTAACCCAATTCCTTCTTTAATGTGATGTCTGATTTATTCAGTGTCAGTAAATAATCTTAATAACAAGCTTTCATATCACTTTGTTTTCAACAGGTGGCCAGGGGACGAGTCCAGGGCTCGCTAGATGTTAGCCTCGCAGTAATATCGATAAACAAGAAATCAAATCGGATTGATTTGGATGCAGGGGACTTTCTGTATCATATGAAGGCAAAGAGTCATGAACTCTTCTACATCTGGGTAACCAAGCTACAAGCTCACCGCCTGTACAAGAAGAATGAGGCGGCTCATCTTCACAGCAGCGTCCTCCACACTTTGTCCCTTCCCACTGCGGCTGAACAAGCTCAGAGAAATGGAGATTTGGTAATAATGGAGTAAGAAAGTGATGTCAGACTGAAAGCCACAGTTGTTACAGGCCACCGAGGGTAACCCGGTGTTCTCTTGCCTCTATTTTATCAGAGCGCCACGGGGACGGCAGATTCAGCTGGAGCGTCAGGCGTGCTGCCGTCAGCTAACACAGCCGTGAACACGAAGGTGTCTGCCTGGCTGCAACAAAGCCACAATCCTGACATCTGTGTTCAAGGTATTTGTCTAATAGTCCTAGCTGCAATGACAAAACTGAACAGGTGATTTTAAAAGTGGCAGTTTGTTGAGTACAGTCTTCAAGTTTCAGCATTAGGTTATATTGCCTGACATCCTCTGTTCTTCAGCTTGGTTTTCTCTTTTTGATAATATAATTGAGTGTCCATATAAAACACCCACAAATAGTATTTACAGAAAAGAAGACTTAAAGTAGGTAACTTAAAAATATGTATACCAATATATCCTATGTGACTATTATTAGATTATTTATTGCGTGTGCAAAATGTCTAACTAACATTTGCTTTTGAGGTTGGTTGGAGTACAGGTATTTTTCCAACTGTTCCAATAAGACAAGTGTTATTTACTAAATTCATTGAATTACTGATTGATAAAATGGTGAAAGAAACCTAATACAATTATCCAGAGTTTCGTCAGACCTATTAAAGTCACATTCACATCTCAATTATTACAAATGTTGAAAAGAAAAAGCTGGAACAGTAAAATTAATATTAATTATCATTAATAATGTATGTACTGTTGGATAGTTTGATTTAAATCAAAGTATATTGTAAACTTTATATATCTTACATTTTGTATGCAAATTCTTTAGGCATGAAAAATAGCAAGTAACAATAACTGTGAGGTAAAAGTACAATAAGTTTACTTAAATGTATTTTTCTGTGTCCCGTTACTGTTTAGAGTTAAATTGGGGAAAATATAGTTAAATGTTCTTTTTTGTTGTTGTTGTCATTTTAACATGCTAACACCATTTAATAGGGGATAGTCATCTGCATACAACTTGATAAACATCAAGTTGTTGTCTCGGTCCACCAGATTTAAAGTGTTTTTCTTGCACTCACAGTGCAACGGCTATTTCTGTATATTAGCTCTGTGGCCAGCAGGACTCTTTTGTGATTAATTAGTTAAAAAAATTTGCTTCCTTGATATT